GGGATGGGGTTTGAGGCTGTTGTAGGTCCCTGCCTATGCAGCATCCCAAACATCATGTCTCTGCTCCGGCTGCCGGGCTGTTCCCAGCAGTCACCCCCTGTGCCCACCATAGCCGGGAAGCCCTGGCAGGATCCTGGCCCTGTGGGGTGTTTTTCTGGCTCTCTGGAGGGAGGGTGATCCCCCACTGCTTCCACTTAATCACTGGCTTATTTCAGCTGCCTGTCTCTGCCTGAGCTGGGCTGGCGGTGGGGTTGGTAGGATGGATCCTGCCCTGGAGCAGGGGCTGGGCAGGAGTCCCTCTAAACCCCACTACTTTATGCTGGTCTGGTGCAATCCCAGAGCTGTCACATCAGCAGGATTTGCCTTCCCCATGCTCTGGTGCTCCACAGGACCAGCTGGGCCGGTTCTGGCCCTGCTCCCCCAGGGAGCTGAACCCCATCTCTCCTCCCATGGCTCTGGGGGGGCTGCTGGAGGCAGCTTGGTCTGCAGCGGCAGGAGAGGGCCCAGCACGCTCGCAGGGGGCTGGAGCTGCGCTGTGCCGGTGAAGATCGCTCTGGGGGGGATGCGAGCATGCAGCAGTCTTCCAGGAAAGAGCCCGTGGCCTCAGATGGCTTTCCCATGCCAGCTCCACTTCACGTGGCTGCCGGGTGAGTCATGCAGCCCAGCCAGGCTGGAGACAGGCAGGTCAGGGACTGCAGCAAGGGTCGGTACCTCTCCTGGCTCCCTTCCCCTGCTCCCTGCGCAGCCCTGAGTCTCTGGAAGAGCAGATGAGTGAGGAGGAGGGGAGGGACCCATCTGTGGGAGGGGTAGGGTCTTGCTATTGAATGCTCAGCATTGGTGCAGCTGGGCTGGTAGGACCCAGCAAGCTTTAGTGCATCCCTGGAGGGTCCCTAGAACAAAGCGAGCGGTAGAAATGTGCCCTCTCCCTCCCCGAGGACTGCCAGCCCTCCACTGGGAACAGGAGCACATCCTTTCCCGTGGCCCCATCCTCCTCCCGACGCTGCTCTGCCCCACAGAAAAGCCAGCTCAGGCGTGCTGCGGCAGCAGTAAACAGACCGATTTTAATGCACATAACACCCAACATCACCATGGGAGGGACTCGTCCCTTCCCTCACAATCCTCTCAGGCCATCAGCTGCAAAACACAGCCACCCATGGCCCTCCAGCTGCCTGCGCAGAAGCCGGCTTGGGCTGCTTTTCCATCAGCCGTGCCCCTGGCTTCAGCGGCGTCCCTGCGGCTCAGCGAGGCTGTTGGGCTGGTCCAGCAGGGAAGCGCTTTTAGGCAGCAGAGCGGGTGAAGGCAGGGCCCGGGGCCAGGGAGCGAACCCTAAGGCACATCAGAGCGGGTTTGGAGAGGCCAAGACCTCCAGGAGCCGGAGCCCGGGTTCCCCTCGGCACACACGTCTCAGTCTATCAGAAACTTCTCACCATCCACATCCCTCCCTGCAGAGCCCTTGCGCAGGGAGGGGAAAAAATCGGAGCGGAGGAGGCGGGAGAAGTACATGAGGATCATGGCGTCGAGCAGCAGGAGGTTGGTGGTGAGGAAGGCACCCTGGCCCTGCAACTCCACGTAGCGGAGGAAGTACCAGGTGAGGTAGGCCTGGGGTGCCAGGCGGAAGGCGAAGTACATCACCAGGTTGATGTACTTGTTGGCCTCGTAGAGCGCCGGGGAAGGCACATTGCTCATCTTCAGCAGCATGCGGACAGTCAGGAAGATGTTGCTCACCTCCACCAGCAGCAGCAGCATCGCCGCCACCAGGAAACGGCCCGTGATGATGAGCGAGACAAAGGCAGAGATGGCCTGGGAGGAGGGGACACACAGCAGGGTGAGCTCTCCTCGCCCTGGGGGAGGTGAGTCCTTCCCCACCAAGGTTTGGGCATATGTGGTGTTGCTCCCCCTCCTCCCCCCCCCCCAGAGATCCCAGCAGCCCCTCAGGCACCTGGGTCAAGGGAAAATCGGTCTGGAGAGCCAGTTCTCCTGGGACCGGTTACACCTCCCTGCACGGGGAGCTGGGACCAGCCTCTGGATCTTCCCTCGACCCGTGCGGCAGACC